AAAAAAAAAAAAAAAAAAAAAAAAAAAAAAAGCGAGATGACTCTGTTCTTTCTCGAGTAGTTGCGGCTGTAACGTACGTGACAGTTTTTCTTTCCCCCGCACTTCTCTGTTCACTGTATTTCATTTTTTTGAAATGTAATTTGAAACTTTTTTTTAACAAGTCTTATTATTTTCTTTACAGAAATAAGATTGTCTCTGATTGAAATTGTTAGATTTATTAATGAGATATGGGAGCAAAACTCTCGACTATCTACAAGAGACTGAAGAGAGTACTTTGATAAAACATTCGGAACTATAAGGTCTAAAGGAAATTTTTTGTTATTGATATCTCAGAAGAACTCAACCAGTCCTGAATATTGCTTCGTCGGAAATCTGATTAATTATGAGACAATAATCTTAATTTCTTACAAGAAGAATGCAATGGACTCACCCGGAAAAAATATAGCAATGCATTGACTAAAGAAAAAGAATCACCTCAATGGAGGATCTTGAAGAATTACGCCACGAGAAGATTTTGAGTCGACAGCCTTAAATATCTACTCTTTTTTTTTGTCACACAAATATCTACTCTTATTGCGGTGGACTAAAGTCATTCCAAGCAAACTGGCCTGATATTGAACAGATAGACTGGGTGTACTAGTTTTGGAAAACAAAGGTTAATTACATTCAGATGCAATCCAGAAAGAACCAGCGGTACGGACGTGGACCATGACCAAACTTGTTGAAACTTGTCGTTTTCTTTGCAATTAATGGCTAACTTGGGGATGAAAGTAACCTAATCAAGATTGGATAAGATCAACCAAGGCTGGACTCAACATGCGCCAAATTAATTTTCCCACCACAACATACCAATTTATAGACGAGAAAGACACACAACAATACCTGAACATAAAGATAGCTAGCAATTAGGAACACTATCTAGTTCACGAGAAACCACAAATAAACCAAAAAAAATGTGATTTGACGAAACCCATAGGATCATTACCACTAGTGAGATGTAGAATGGTAAAGGGTTATATGCATGGGCGGAGCTATGATATGCCTAGGGGGTCCTGTGCGCCCAGTTCATTTAGCTGAATGTTTAGTTAACAACATCAAGTAACTTGATTATATTTCGTCACTATGCCCCCACCACTAATTTTGGAAATTAAATTATTTTTGCATTTGCCTTTAATTTTATAAAAAAAATAAGAATCTGATTTTAAATTTTTTATATGAGAGTAAAAACGTGTAGAGTGCGATTGAAGCGTTCTAGTCAATCAACTACCCCCACTGCTTTCTCTCAGTTAAACCCTCATGAGACATTTTAAGATTTTGATTTTTCTTGTGAATAAACTGCCAAAACATAGCTTCTCTCATGTCCTACATTTCAAATCAACTTAGATTCTCTATTCCCTCGTATCTAGTAGTCTCTGTCTATCTCCCTGGCACATCACTCTATTTGTGTGTTTGACACTATAAAATAGCTTGTAAACGTGTAAATAATAATACAAAATCATTAGCCTTTTTTTGTTTCTAAAAATGACGATTAGCGTTAATTAAGAAAAAAGCTTTAAAATTATTCCCCCCTCACGTGAGATCGCACCTGCCTTACCAACAACAACAGCAGCGACAAAAATAGTAACAAAAAGCGAAAACGAAGCGAAATTTCAGTCGACCAAAAATAAAAAGATAGATAAAGAGAGGGCCCAGAGCACGTGAAGCTAAGAAACTCGACTCCATACTAAAGAGGATTTTTTACTTAAAACGTTAATAATTCATTAATATTACCATTAACCAAGACATTAACAACATTTTGATTAAAAAAAAGACATTAACTACATTAATACAATTCCATTTATATAAACACCAAAAAAAAAGAAGATAAAAACTAACATCACGGAGATATATCTCACCGGTACAAAACTTCGCCGTCCGTTAAGTAAACGTCCGGTTAACTATTTTATTTATAAAAATATACTATTAAACAGCTAAAGGAGAATCCGACCCGAATAAATCCCCAATATCTTGAAACCGGTCTTCCACGTGCCAGCTGGATAATCCGGATCCGAAATCGAATCCAAAGTTCATACCCGTCCACGTATCTACGAAAAGATCTTCTCCAAATAAATCCCCGGCGAGAAAATCGGGCACCACCGAGCTCCGGAAATCGAACAGATCATCGCCGGCGAACAACGGCGCCGAGAAATCGGAGAAAGCATCCAACGGCTCTTCCTTGACGTTAACTTCCGCGGTCGACGAAGCGCCGCCGGAGAATTCCTCGACGGTGAACGGAGATCGGAGAACAGACACTGGAGATCGGAGACAGTCGCTGTTCTTGTCTGGAGACGGCGGCGGAGATTCGTCGTTCGTTGAAGACGGCGGCGGAGGAGGAGCGGGGAAGTTGGTGAGGGCGTCGGGACCGCGGAGTTGAACGGCGGCGCTGTCGTAGACCAAGGCGGCTTCCTCCGCCGTGTTGAAAGTTCCGAGCCAGAGGCGTACGCGGCGGAGAGGATCTCTAATCTCCGCCGCCCATTTTCCCCAGGGACGTTGTCTAACGCCTCGGTATTTTTTCGACGTGGCGGTTGGAACCGGAGGAGAAGGAGGTTCCGGTTTGGAGTTAACCGGTCTCTTCCTTCTCTTTTTCGGTTCGATTTGAGTAGTGGAACAAGAGTCGAGAATTAGTTCGTTTACGAATTTCTTGATACGGCGGCGTTTAGTGAAGCGTTGGTGTTGTTGTTGTTGGTGTTCTTCGTCGCTGGAGGAGTCTGTTGCGTCTGGGTCGGTGACTGAGATACGGAGAATCTTTGGTTGCTGGTTTGAGAAACCCGGTACGATTCTAGTGGTGTTGGTTAAGTGCTCTGTGAATTTGATCTTCTCCGTTTCCATTTCTTTTATCTCTTTATCTTTGGCTTTGTGTGTTTATTATGTCAAGAGAGATGGGTAAAGCATTTCAAGGCAAAAAAAAAAAGAAGAAAAAGGGAAAGAGACAAAGATAAAGATGAACTTTTGGAAAAAGTGGAAGAAACTTAAAGAACAAGAGAGACAAAGAGTGACGCTCCTCTGCACAAAAGGTTTTTTTACACAAAAAAAAAAGGAAAATAAAACTGCGAGAGAGAAACCTTGGTAGAGAGAACAGAGATAGGAGATTGAAGAAAAAGAGTCTTTTTGTTATATTCTTGTGGAATCAATACAAACCAAACGTCTCTGGTTATAGAGAGGTAAAGAGGAAGATGCTCCTTTTGGGAGAGAAGGCTTTTCTTGGAAATATTCCTGGAAATTTTTTAGTGTGCAGAGAGGAAAGAAAATGTTTTTTTTTTTGCAGAGTGTGAGAAAGAGTGACACGAGGAAGAGGATGGAGATTTAAAAGCGGCAGAGCACATGTAAGTTGATAGAGAGAGATATAGAATGAGTGACTATTTTATAGGATCTTGAAACGGCTGATAAGTGTTTAACTCTCTTTTTTTTTTCTTTTTTTTTTTTTGCTTTTTTCCTATATTGTGAAAAATATTTTCAATGATTAATCGCACAAAGTTACCAGATAAACATGAATTTTTGGTGTGTGATTTTTTTTCTATATAACTCGTTGGAGTTTTAATGTTTTTTCATACGTAGTGGAAAGAATAATTAGAAATGCCTTGGCTATATATAGAAATGTTATCTGGTCAGTTGGGATGTCAAAGTGAAAACAGATAATTATCAAAACTATTTTTTATTAAGAATAAAACGTAAATGTAATTTCAAATATATAGATATTGAGATAAAACACAATCAACATGTTTTCGACAATAATGATTATTAACACTTTGTAACGCAAATATAATCATATCATTTGGGGTTAACACATCAAAATAAATGACAGGATAATTATGTTTTTTTGTTTACTAAACAAACCACTACTAATTTCATATCGAAACTTTGACTAATATCTAAATTTTTTTTGTCATTATTCATCAACATAAATAAGTCATCGACGTGTGTAAAAATTAAAAAAAAAAAATCTAAAAGTTTTGGATTTCGGAAACTAATTTGACAAGATTAGCGCTGGGGAGGGAGCCGCATAAGTCAAACGAGTGAGATATTGACGTGTGTTACTATAAAATTAGGTCCAATCCAACGGCTGGGACGTGCCTTTCCATGGCAGGTGACAAAGAGAAAAAAACATGTACAGTGTTGCTTATTAGATTTAATCATATACTGATTTTTGTAATTATTCTCGTAATTAGAGATTCAGGTCACGTGATACCGGAGACACGCCCAGTCCTACTTTTGACCAGAATACTTTGATTAAATTTAGTGGTAGGTGATTAAGTCTTTAATCTAAAACCTCCGTACGAAGCTTTTTTTCTCTTCTCATACTTTAACCACAAGGGTGTCCTTTGGTCATTTTTGCAAAGCAAGTTGCTTGTAAAAATCAAGAGACCGTTACGGCTAGTTCTTTATTGTTTTAACCTTTACCAGTCTCTTTTATTACAGCTGGTGGCTAACGTGGCAGACAACAACCTAGAACGTTGTGCCAAAAAATGCACCGTAATATTTTGGAATCATTGTATTACTTCTTAATCTTGATTAGAACTCAATTGAATTTTTTTTCCTGCCAAATTCGAGCGAGTAGTATAAACAAGCGCCTTTCAGTCCAATAGCTTTTCAAGACAAGCTGATTAGGCTTGATGGGAAAATTAAGTAGCGAGTATGAAAGATATTAAATTACATTCTGGGATAATTAAAAATAAAAAATGAGTTTGAAACACTTTGACCAGTGGTCGAGAATGTCGCAAAAAAAAAAAAAAACTTTCCTATCTAACGCAGGGTTGAGTTTCCAGTCCTAATTGAAATGTTTTGATGCGATCGGGTAACACTTTATGTTGGTCATTACTAGTGTTCGTATTTCATGGTATTCATATGAAAAAAGTGGGAAAATATGCATGTGGTGACAACACAAATTTACAGAAATTTTCAAATCACCTAATTCGACAAGTATTTATTATTGATTAATTAAATGCTGTAAACATGCATCAGAAACAGAATAGTACTAACTTTTTGATTTTACTGGTCGTTTTATATTTGTGCATATAAATTAAAAAACATTTAATTTTACATATTTTAAAAACAACAATATCATTATCTATAAACTTAACCAAATTTCAATCAATAAAAAATAGAATATCAGATAAAATTAATAAATTTTGTATTAAAATTATAAAATAGTATTTATTTTGAACTGAAAATTTTCTCTACGACAATAACTAAATTGAAATTGAGGAAGTAACACTTATCACAAAAATTAAAACATGAGGTAGTTAAATGCATGCTTGGTCGATTATAACATTTCTTAAAGAAAATTAATGCATGGTCGATTCGTTGTTCTCGATTATTGATGGATATATGTACATTATTAATCTAGTGTCTTACTAATAGTACTAGGGATCGTCCACCTCGAGCAAGTGCGGGGTTATTGTTATAAGTGTTGTACTGTTTTAATTTATGAAGGAGTGATTCATTTGTTGGAGAAGTTCTTTTTGATAGTGTAAAATGAATTTGCTTATTTATTGATTTATAAAAGTTTGTGGTTAGGTTTTGTAAGTGAAGGTTTATTGATATAGGGATGAATTATTTTATGTTTTATTTGTTTTATTGGACTTATATATATATATGTATATAACTTTATTATGGTATTAAAATGTTGTTTTAACCGTAATCTATGACTATTTAGTTTTTTTTTGCATTTGTTTTCATCTGAACATCGAACATTCTTTTTTATAGAGAAATAAAACAAAATCAAGAGTTTTATACTCTCAGCCTGAGTACATGGCTACAGAGCGGACATTTATGCAATATTTACATGAGTTATGTTTCTTTATGAACGCATGTCACCATGTAACATGTAATGATTGATGTATTTAATTGTGGACATTATCAATATGCAAAATGCAGTAAACCTGCTTTTTTTATAAATAAAAACTTGGTAACTGTCATTTTCGTAGGAGGAAGTTTACCGGAAATTAAAAAAAAAAACTAAAGTTAAAAATCATATATATAATGGATTCAAAAGCATAACAACTCTGAAAATTCAAAATAGGCGAATTGAAACTATCATTCACGCGTGCATTAGCGGTTATTTTCTTATGCTTCAAAATCAACAGTATTTGGTTCATCATCTCTTGTTGCAACAGTGATGCTGGCAGATGCAGTTGCTTCTTCATCTTCGTTTGTCACTTGTGTGAGAATGTAAACTGCACGCCTAATAACACATGTAACGTTGGAAGAAACTCATTTATTGCAACGAAGAGAATTGCCAGATTTGTCCAATTTTCTGCTGCATACGGTGCTAGAAACGCACGACCAGATTCTCTTGGAGGATCTCAACAATCCGAACTTTGCAAATGAAATCAGATTTCTGTGTCTTCACAAAGTCAACACAATTACAATAAACAAACATTATTTCAAGTGACAAAGATAATCAAAACTATAGTGTAAACTTGAACGCTACTTGCTAGTGTTTAGTTCTCTCTTACTGTACCTTCCAAACTGCAGACAGCAAGTATTATGCAAAATATTGACACACTTAAATCTGAGTTTTAGCACTATACAAAATGAGTTCTAATCTGACTGTAAACTCTCTGATGGTAGAAAGATTGGTGTTAAAATAAAATCTTAAACACCGTGTCTAACTAATAGTATAAGTTTTCTTAGCACTGTGTATTGATTTGTAAGTAATAGTTTCTGCAATTTATGAGACTTAACAGATTTATCTAAACTAGTTTTAAAATTATACGTAAATGTAGAGTCAACGATGATGTTTACAATCATATTGTTATATTGTAATAATATAAATGTAATACACGTATATAATAATAGTATAAAACTGGGCAATAGATACTGGAAACCCATGCTATATTGCCAAAGAAAGCAGCAAGCTTTCATTACAGGGTATGTGAACCATGAAGCCGTTTGTTGGTCTTGTCTTTCCCTTCATCTTATTTTTTATTTGCTTCTTCTCTGCTATACAGTCTTTACCCAACATCAGTGATATGTATTATGGCTGTATGGACAGCAGTGTATTTTAATTATTTCGCTGTTTGAG